AAAAGGCCACAGTTCCTCCCCTAGATGACCTTGCATTCTGCTAGGGCAAAGGTTCTCAATCTTATTGTAAGTCATGGATTTCTTCTACATTCTGGCAAAGCATATAGACTTCTCGGAATAATGTTAGATGCTTGCATTCATAAATGAAGGAAATACTAACTTTCAGTTTGAGGTTAATGAAAATAAAGATGTAATTTTTTTTTCTCCATTCAAATTCAAGGAGCCCCTGTAATCTATCCACAGACCTTTTTTGGGGGTGGTCCAGTTAAGAATCTCCATATGATGGGGGTAGGATATAGGATAGGGAATAATAGGGCAAGAAGAGGGGGTCCATATAAAGTACTGTAGCAGAATTGAAGAAATGAGAAAAGATTTTCATGTTTTATCTCTCTGAACTGAGCCTTGAAGGAAAATAAGGCATCTGAAAAACTGAGTTGAGCAGGAAGTGCGCTGCACACAGCTGGTGCTTATTTGCTTCATTAAAATGAATATTAAAGTATCAGGGAAGGCTAATTGAAATAAAATTTAATACCTGGGTATCAGAGAAGGCTCCTTTAGCTGAACATTGAGGCAAGATCTTAGGATCGTTGATCTGGAGGAGGAAGCGACTTCTGAGGCGCTCAAGTCCAACCCCATCATATTATAAATGAGGCACCTGAGGCACTGAGAGGCCAAGTGACTTACCCGGGGCCATACAGGCAACAAACATCAGATGGCATCTGGACCCAGGTTTACTTACTCAAAGCCTGTATTTTTTACATTGAACCATACTGACTCTCCAAACTGTCAGACATCACTATGTGGCGGACACTAGGCTAAGCTTTGGGAATCCAAGAAGAGGCACAAGACAGTGTCTGCCCTCAAGGAGCTTACAGTCTAATGGGGGAGAAAACAAACAGGTATGTACAAATAAACTATATACAGCGTGAATCAGAAATAATTCAAGGAGGGGAAGGCGTTAGAATTAAGGGGGGTAGGGTTGGGAAGGGCTTCTTGTAGAAGATAGGATTTTAATTGGCCTTAAAGGAAGCCAGTAAGAGAGCATTCCAGTCATAGAGGTTAGCCAGAGAAAATGCCTGGAGCTAAGAAGTGGAAGGTTGTCTTCATGAAACAGTCAGGAAGCCAGTGTCACTGGATCAGAGTACGCACTGGGTACTAAGGTATAAGAAGACCAGAAAGATAGGAGGGGATTAGGTTATGAAGGTCTTTGAATGCCAAACAACATTTTCCTATTTGATTCTTGAGGCAATTGGGAACCACTGGGGTTTATCGAGTAGGGGTGAGGTGTGACATGATTAGACTAGCATATTAGGAAAAATAACTTTATTGGCTGAATGGAAGATGGTCTAGAATGGAGAGAGGCTTGAGGTAGGCAGACCCACCACCAACAGGCTACTGCAATGATCCAGACATGAGGTGATGAGGGCCTGTACCAGAGTGGTGGAAGTGTCAGAGGAGAGAAGTGTCAGAGGAGAGAAGAGCATATAAGAGATGTCACAAAAGTGAGATTGACAGACTTTGGCAACAGATTAGATATGGGGGGGGTAGGTGAGAGATAATGAGGAGTCAAGCTTGCTACCTAGGTTGCCAGCTTAATAGTATAGAGGGAGAAGAAAAGAGGGTTCAGAACAGAATGCTGAGGGACACCTACTGCTGGAGGGTATGATCTAGAAGAGGATCTAATAAAGGACACCCAAAAGGAAGTGGTGTGATAGGTAGGAGGAAAACCAGGAGATAATGGTGTCCCAAAAACCTGGCAAGAAGAGAATTTCAAGGAGAAAAGGGTGATCAATAATGTAAAAGGCTGAGGGGAGGTCAAGAAGAATGAGGACTAAGACAAGGCCATTCGATTTGGCTGCTAGACATCACTGGTAACTGGATAGAGCAGTTTTGGTAAAATGATGAGGTCAGAAGCTAGATTAGAGGGTATTATGTTAGTCCAGGTAAAAGATGAAAAGTGCCTGGACTGGGGTGGTTGGTCATGTGAGAGGAGAAGAGAAATGGTGCAAAAAAAATTGTTCAGTAAGCATTTATTAATCCTACATTATGTGTCAGGCACTGGGGGAAGTATCTAGCTGGGGATATAAATACCAAAAACTGAAACTGTCTCCTCCCTCAAGGAAGCTTCATTCCATTAAATGAAAGATGTGCATATGCAACATATGTACAAAGCAAATATAGACTGAGTGAATCAGGAAGCCTTCATGTTGGAGTAGAGCAGCTAGTTGGTGCAGTGGGTAAAGTACTGAGCCTGGAATCAGGAAGATCTGAGTTCAAATCCAGCCTCAGACTTACTAGCTGTGTGACCCTGGGCAATCGGGATTAAGTGACACAGCCAATAAGTCTGAGACTGGATTTGAACTCAGATCCTTCTGACTCCAGGGCAGGCACTCTATCCACTGTGCCACTTAGCTGCCCCAAGGCTAAGGATTTTAATATGTGGAGTTGAGTTATGAAGGTAGAATTAATAGGAGTTGGTAGGTGATTGGATTTTGAGAATGAGCATGAGAACTGACTCCAGATTTTCAGTTTTTTGTGACTAGGATGTTGGTGTCTTCAGTAGGTACTGGGAAGAGTAGCCATTTTGGAAGGAAGATGATGAGTTCCATTTTGTACATACTAAATGGCAACAGAACTTATTTATTATAGGAATTGAGACTGTTTCTGGACTTTGGGGGTGGGGAAAAGAAGTCCTGCAATTTAGTTGGCAATTTCAGTCTGTGATTTCTTTAGTGGTTGGCTACTTTCTCTATTAATACAGATAAAAATTTCCCTTTACCTCCCCATTCTGTATTATTCTTGTTCATGTTTTACTACAAATCCTCCAAAGAGCATTTACCATTTCAGTGGGTCAAATTAGCTTATTTATTGACTGGCTATCTCTTTTCCCACTTAGAGCAAATACTCTCCACCTGCACTTTCAGTGAAGCGTGACAGTCTACTACCCCATGCTTCTGCTTATGATCTGTGCTTCCTTTCTTCCTATCTATGTCTGCCCTGGAAAGGTTTTCAGTGTCTATACTGCTCTTTCCTTATCTGCCGTTATATCCCTTGAATTCCTTTTCTGTTGTTAACAGACTGTCCGTTATTTTAGATTTTTGTCCTTCTGCCTTTTCTCTAATGTCATTTTTATATAAATTTTGCATGTATTTCTATGTGTACATGTTGATTTTAACTAACAGATTATAAGCTCCTTGAAGGTAGGGACTGTTCCTTTTTCTTTGTATTCTTTGTAATAGAGGGAGTAGCCAACCCACTAAGGACTTCACAGATAGAAATTACCAACTAAATCACAGGACTTTTGCACTTAGCATAGTTCTTGGCCATAGTAGGTACTTAACAATCAATAAACACCTACTGTATACCAAGCACTACACTAGTCTGGGAATACAAAGAATCAATCTTGCCCTCAAAGAATTTATATTTTATAGAGGAAGACAGAATGTGCACATAGAAGTATAGACACAATATAGGATAGAGACAGGGACTGGACCTGTGATTTCATTGATATAGGTAATTCTTGGGTAAGGAAGCACCTTCGACCATGGCAGGTTTGCAGCTTCTTCGCAATTTATGGTTTTTCTGGAGAGCTATCTAGAAAACTGAAAAGTTAAATGATTTGCTTAGAGTCACGTAGCCAGTATGTGTTGGAGGCAGTATTTGAATCCAAATGTTCCTGGTTTCAAGGCCCGATCTCTAACCATTATACAACACTGCCTCTCTTATGAAATAGAAATAAGATAAATTCAAGGTAATTTGGAGTTTGGGGAGAAGGCAGTAGCAGTTGTGGAGAGAATCAATAGAGACTTCATTGGGAAGATAATATTTGAATTAAGCTTTGAAAGAAACTAGGAATTGTTATAAGTGAAGATGGAAGGAGTATGATCTTGGCAGGGGGGGAATTCATTGTAAAGAGGCAGACTGTGGAATGTCATAAGTATAAGTACGACATGAAAGCTAGTTTGGTCAGACTTAAAGAGTGCATAAATATGTTGCCTTTGTTTTAAGGCAAAATAAACATCTAAACCAGTATTAAATAAGACAGAAATCCCAAAATATGCGCGCTGTTTGGGAGTGAGCTTTAACTTAATTTTACATTTAGGTTCAGGGAAGATTAGTTATCCCATGAGTATCATGATCATAGTCAGTCCCAATGCTGAGGCAAACTAAGTAACATAGCAACTATCACTGAAAAGGGGCTGAAAATCAGGTTCTGGGAGCTACAGTTTCATAATCACATCATCTCCCATGTTAGGAGATAACCCTTCCATTGACACAGGAAAATTGGCAGGATAACCATTTCCTTTTTCACTTGACCTGTGATGCTTTCAAAGACAACATTTTCTTTTAAAAAGAAAATTGATATATTTCATTTTTATATCACATATATTTCCCAATTTATCCTTCCTCCTTCAGTTCAGTTTAGCAAAACTAACTAGTACATGGACCAAGTCTGACATTATATACAGTGCTCTATACCCAAGGTTGCCCATCTCTGTTTAAAAAAACAAAAACAAAAGAAACAACCAAATAGGAAAATACCTTCTCATTATCTTTGCCCAACCTTGCTTGTTGTAATTTCACACAGTAGGCGCTTAATGTTGATTATTGACTGACTGACACATTCAATTTAGATTGTTTTATTATTCTTTTCATTTATTTGCATTGTTTTCATTGTGTATGCTGTTTTCTTGGTTTTGTTTACTTTGCTTTAGAGCAGTTCATGTATGTATTTCTTCCCATGCTTCTATGAATTCTTCATAGACGTCATTACTTACTTCAGGGTAATATCCATGTACCCTAATTTGATTAACCATGTCCTAATCAATGGACATATACTTGGCTAAAGTACTTTTGGTATATATAGGACCTTTCTTTTTGTCCTTATTATCCTCCTAGGGTTTATACTTGACATTGGAATCTTTGGGTTTCAGATTGGGGACGTTTTAGCCATTGATATTTTCAGCGTTCTCATTATACCTTTCTTTTTGTGCTTCCAGCTTTTGTCTTTCCTTCAGGGATTATTCACCTTTTACCACGAAGGATATGAACTGGCTCAGGAATTTGCACCCTACAAGCAACAGTTGCAGTTCAATTTACAGAATGTAAGACCCTCTATATTAATGCCATGTTATAACTAAATGGAAGTTTTATTCAATAGAACTTTCTTTCTTTTTTCTCCTTAATAGTATTTTATTTTTTCCAGTTACATGTAAAGATAGTTTTCAACATTCATTTCTGTAAAATTTTGAGTTCCAAATTTTCTTCCTCCCTCCCCTCCCCAAGATAGCAAGCAATCTGATATAGATTATATATATAGTCATATAGAACTACTTACAAACCATTTAAACCATGAACTGTCTCAAAAAGCAAACTGTACATACATTCAGTCCTCAGTAATTAGAACTGGCAGAGAAGCTGACAAAGAACAAAGACAAAGGAGACCATTTGAATCGCCAAAGCATCTGAGTGAGAGTATCTCAGGGAAATTGTGAGCAACAACAGGGCATGGTGGACCAATGAATCAGAGGGCCTGCATTTAAATCATGGTTCTGCTTCTTATGACCTGTGTGAATTTAGGGAAGTCACTGAACTACTTTGGGCCTCAGTTTCTGAGAAATGAGGTTCTTGGACCAGATGATCTGTCTCTAAGTCTTTTTTAGGTCTCAGTATGTTATGAGTTTCACATGTATAATGGGGAATAGGTTAGAAAGGAGAGTGTTTGAGAGAAAAAATCATAGTCATTGTGGCCTGGCAAACAACTGTTTTACTCAAGTGAAAAATGTTTTTAAAATGAAAGAAAATTTTTCTGCTTAAAAATTTTAAATAGTTTTTAAACTTTCTCCAAACCATGCATGTTTTTTTTAAATCTACTTGAATGATCTTTCTTAAAAAAAAAAAACAACAAACTTCCCCCCACCCCATACTTATGGGGAGAGTGGTACTTGTTGCTAGATTTTTTTATATGATTTTCAATACTTTTTGACAATCTAATAATAAAAATAATAGGTAGCATTTTCATAGTGCTTGAAGGTTTACAGGGCATTTTACGAATATTTCATTTTGTCTTTACAACAGCTATGGGAGGTTGGTGATGCTATTATAATTCCCATTTTGCCAACGAGGAAAGTGAGGCATAGAGAGGCTAAGCAACTTGCTTAGGGTCAGTAGTAATTATCTGAGGCCAAATCTGAACTCAGGTCTTCCTAACTTCAGGTCTAGTACTCTATCTAATCTGCTACATAGGTACCAGTTTTAAAATGTCTGCATTTTGAAGTCATTTTACTATCACCAGTCACTGCAAGTTTGCCTTAACATGAATTGTAAGTTGAAAGCAAATGAGTTATTCAACCAAGAATTGAATAAGTTAGAAACTTTGGGAGATTCGTTAACTTTTTTCAGGTCCTTTCATTTATTAGAATAGTGATTAGAGTCTGGTTTATTACCAATGAGAATAATATTTATAGAAAGCAATTCAATGTTCATATTTTTTAGGAAATCAACTGAAAGAATTATGCTGACTCAAAACTATTGTATAAATTTGAAGTAAGAATGCTTTTTTTAAATCTATGGCCACTGACTTGCACCAGGGCTTGGAATGAGAAATGAGGGAGGGAACAATTTGTAACTGTGTAAGTATAACTCAAGAAAACTTAGGAAAACTTCCCACTCAATCATTTTAATTTAGGATAAATATCTCAAATGATTCCAAAATGGAATTTATTTTTATATTATGAGCAGTTAAGGGATACAGTGGGGTAGCAGAATAGGACACTAGAACTAGAGAGAGGGAAAAAAGAAGACACAGAAAGATGAAGAAATGCACACTGAAAGAGAGATAGAAAACAGACACAGAAACTGGCACATGCAGAAAGTTAGGCATGTGTACATTATGATTAGACATAGACATAAACTTTTAATATGTTAAAATGCTACTGCAAAATTCTTTTAACATGTTATATCTTTGCAACTCTTAAGAATAATTGGTGATATTTCTGTTTGATAATTGCCATGTAGACTGTAAGAAATGAAAGTTGAAAGTTGGGTCTGACTTTCTAGCTGAATATTCGTGACCCTTGGTTTATATGTTTGCTTCTAAATAAGCTATCAAATTATTTTTTTTCTCTTTCAGACAAGAAATAATTTTGAAAGCACTCGTCAAGAGGTAGAGAGATTAATGCAGAGAATGAAATCTGCAAATCAAGATTACCGTCCTCCAAGTCAATGGACAATGGAAGGGTATCTTTATGTACAAGAGAAACGTGAGTCAAATCTTATGATTTACCAGTAGGCAAAAAAAAAAAAAAAGTGTTGCATTAACTGCTTACCAGGTTAGTAACATCTTGAGAGGGAGAGCATGAAATTACTAAGCGTTATAGTATCTTTTAAGTTTTAGTATGCTGGTGATACAAATATAAAATGAGACAGTCCTTGCCCTCGTGGTGCTTATGTTCTAATAAGGATTAAATTCATAAAGGGGAATAGGGGCCCGGAAGGGAGTTTTAATTTGGAGAATCACAAGGATGCTGAATGAAGCAGTATAGAATGAGATTGTCATGCCCTTTTCAAAAATAATAGCAATATTGATTTGTTCACTGTTCCCAGAGCAAGAGTTGAAAAATTAAGGGTGTAGGTGGAGTACCAAGGCAGATGGCAAAATGATGCATTCAACTAGGTACAGTGACATGCTGTGGAGATAGGGCCTTATCTGTAAAACTTGAAAAGGAGTTTTATTAACCTGTGTGTGACAAAAAAAAAAAACCTGAGTGAGAACCAATTACAGTACTCAACTATTCTTGACACTTATTTCCTGACCTTCCATTTAGACTTCAGAGTGCCAACTTGACACCAAATAACTAGCCGATTTTATATCTGAAAAAATGACTAGATATAGAATTAAATGGACCCTATTAGGAGGGCCCACAATTAAATGAGTGCAAAGATGATTTATCTAGAGACAGACTTTTATTTTTACTTTATGTGAACTTTTTGAATGAAGATTTAGTTATTAAGTTTAAGCTCTAAAATGGATTTATTCTTTGCCACATTCATTCAAGAACATAAGCACTAATCTCAGTGTGTCAGTGTTCACCATTATCTGCAAGAAAAATAGCACTCAGGCTTCTGAAATCTAACTGGTTTTTCCCAAGTTTGTCTCTCACTTGTCCTGATCTGACCTGAAGCCTCATATCCACTGTCCAAGTTCTAATCGGGGTCTTTGAGTTGTCTGACATGTGCCTGCTCTTTGCTGAGTTACCCAGTCAGTCTTGAGGCTTTTATTCCTAAGACTCTGTAAGCCTTGCCTTTACTCAGCTTCTGGCTCCCCAGGTTTAGCTCATTGGTCAATATATATTATAAACAATAGCAGTCTCATATGAGCCTAGTCCTTCCACTGCACACATGATTTCTGCCTTAGTTATTGCTGTATTATAGATGTGTTAACTCATGGGGACATATCGTCTTTACAGATGTCATTGTGTTATGCAGGACATTATAGACTATATAATCCACTGTACCCATAGTTCTAAATGACATACCATTTTATCATTAAAATTTTTTATTATGTTTGGGATAATGCTGAAATTGTTTACATTTCCTGAGTAAACATAGACTAAGCATCAGGTAGAGGAATATCAAAAGTGTTATAGGTCCAGCTCTTCTAATTCATCTTGAAGAATTTTTGATTTATTAAAGTTCTTATTGCCCTTCTGAACATCAGTCACCATAACTCACGCTGACCTTAGAAACATTTCCCACTAGGGGAAAATGTAGGCCTGCCTGGAAAGAGGTAGCTAAGTGTTAGCTCATAGAGGACTTTTAGTTGGAGTAACCTTCTTTGGACTCAGCAATTAAGATTATGTTTACATAGTGAGGGGAAAATCTTGATAGAAAATGGTTAATTAGTTTTAAAATTATTTTATTGATCTAATTTGAGTATTTCTACTTGTAAGCCGTTGTACATAAATCTATCATTCACACAAACCAATAATGCAGCTGATTTTTTTTAATGCTTATTTCTTTGGCCACATATGGAAGGAAGGCAATACAGTTTTGGATACTGTAAGGGAAGTAATGTGGAGATAGGGCCTTACCTGTAAAGATTGGGATAGAGTTTCTAGGAACATTTCTAATGCAAACCAAAACAGTGGCTTTATTTTTATAATTGCAAGCTATATGATGAAGTAGAAATGGCATTTAAGATCACTTCAGGATAGGCACCTGTATCTGACCAAATACCTAAATACATAATCTACATATGCACATATACCTATGTATGTATACGTATATATTGCTGTTTTTCAGTCGTTTCAGTCATGTCCAACTCTTTGTGACCCCATTTGGGGTTTTCTTGGCAAGGATACTTCAGTGGTTTGCCATTTCCTTCTCTAGCTCATTTTTACATATGAGGAACTGAGGCAAACAGGATTAATGTGACTTTCCCAGGGTCATACAGCTAATAAGTGTCTGAAGCAAGATCTGAACTCATGAAAATGAGTCTTCCTGATTTTAAGCCCCGTACTCTATCTACACACTACTCACTGCCCCCACTTCCCCTACTCTCTGTCATTCTCTTTCTCTCTATGTTTGTATATGTATATATGTAATATTTTATATATCATATGCTAATATAAAATGTATAGATGTTTTATATGTTGTGTGTGTATATACAATAATCATACTCTGTTACCTACATTTATTTGCATATTCTCTATATAGCTTTCCAAACTCGAAGTTGGTTGATGAATTTCCTGTTTCTCCATCCATATCTTTAGATAACTACATTCTTTCCCCTCATTGGAATAGATTCTCTTTGTGCAGGCTCAATTTCATTTTTGACAGCTTCCATACCCTGCCTGTGCTGTCACCCCCTGTAGAATTTTAGTTCATGAGACCTTATTTATCTTTCCTCTAAACCCTTTGAAAACTGCCTTCTTAAAAATCTAGTGTGCATTCCAAAAGATACTCAGCTTTATTCCCCCTTTCTATTACAAACTTTCATAGGGACTGATAATTTCCCTTGAACATTCCCATTATTTCTGTCTTAGCTTCTGGCTCTTCCCTGTTGGTACAAATCAGATCTAATTTAAAAAAAATTCCCTTTGTTGATTCTTCGACTTTTTGAAGGATGAAATTATCATTATGGCAAATCAGGAAATGATGGGCTGCTCTTTTGGCAGAGAAAGGATTACAGTAGGTCTCAGGATGATTTAGATCTTTCATCACCACTAGATCATGCCTCTTTGCCAGACTTGTGATCTATTTCCCTGGCTAATAATTTGTTTTCTCTTTCTGTCCAGTTGATCCATTGTTTACTCCAATACAAAAATTGCTTCTTTTTCTGTTTTCATTGATCTGCACCATACCCTTCTGGGTCCTGGATTTCCTCACATTTAGTACTTCTTCCTAATACATAATACTACCTCCTCCATTCCCCCAGTAACTTCTTTTATAGATTCTAGGACAAAATATAAACTTCCTAGCCTGGCATTTCAAACCTTCCTCTACCTGACTGAGCCTATCTTTCCAGACTTTTTTCTGTCATTCCTATTCACTCATTGTACATTCCAGGAAAATTAGAGTACTCATTGTTCCCCTAAATTTCGCATTCCATTTCTTGGCTCTATGGATTTAAATAAAGTATCTCCTATTCCAGAAGTGTACTCCTGCTTTTTGCTTTTAAGAATGTTTATCTTCCTTTAAGACTTAACTCAGGTGTCACCTCTTTAGGGAAACCCTACTTGAACCTATCTTGATTATTAGTGTTTTCTTCAAATTGAGATGTATTTACTTAACTATGTATGTGTTATGTCTACTCCCTTTTTCTTTCTTCAAGTAGCATATAAACTTCTTGAGGGTAGGGGCTCTTTCTTGTTTGTTTGTTTATTGTTTTTTAGCCCTAGTGCTGGCATACTTTATATAGTTCAATAAGAGTTTATTTAATTGATTGGAAATTGAGTTGTCACTTTTCCGGTGTAAAGGATGATGATGATGATGATGATGATGATTGATGATGATGATGATGATGATGATGATGATCAGTATTAATACAGTCTAATACATTTCAGTAATACAAGCAAATAGCTCCTTAGTAATCTCAAACCTACTGACTTGGGGGTATTTTATTTGTTTTAATTTTAGGTTGGTCACAGCTCCCCTCACCCCGAGATATGTTTTTTAAACTTTTAATCTTCCTTTAGTACATTACAAATTTCTGATCCTGATGACATCTGAGGACAGTTGGCTCAATCCCAAGCAAACTTAAAAGAAATTAATATGTGCAATAAATATTAAGAGCAAATGCACACATTTTTTAAATTTAGGATATTCGTGGAAAAGAAATCTTTAAACAACCTAGATGTTGTTGATGATATGGATAGAAAATGGTTTATTGCAGTGCAGGTCAGCACCTCTTCTGCTCCTTATATTTTTAGAGAATTGTTTTGTGGTACTGACCTATGAAGTGACTTGCCTGAGTCCCATAACTAGTATTTGTCAGTGACAGAATTTAAATTGAGATCTTCCTGACTTTGAGGTGGGCTTTCTTTATCAGCCATACCAAACTACCTCTTTACTTATAAACCATGAAAAATACCACTTAGACTGAATGTTTAAAGAGGCAAAAATACCTTTCATGAAATACGTGCTTAGTTAACAACCATTATTCTATACATATTTGTTTAATTGTTTCACCTTCCTCTTCTGTCATTTTGAGTCAGAAACGAGCACTCCATCTAGTATACCACACTGTAAATAATGATATTATCTCACAAATTTATCTCTACAGAATGGCAATGGCATGAAAAGTGTTTCCATAGCCTCAACATTCCTGCAATAAAATTTTCCATTTTGTTGTATTGCATTCTGTATATCAGAATTATTCACAAATAGTATAAAACTGTGAATAATTAGTAAAAATTGCTAAGTCTGAATAGAAAAAATTACAATAATCCTTTTTGTTTTATAAGCTACTTTATAACCCATAATTTGGAAATTAGAGGGACTTATGCATTGAAATTAAATATGACTCCAGGGGCTTTTAAATAAAAAAAATTTTTGATTCCTTTACATTTTTCTCCATTTAAACATGTTTATATATAAATTGATTGACATGTGGTTTTGAGGCTTGGCCAGCAATAATATCATTTATTACAGTGATGACTAGAGTATTTCAAGCTTTCAAATTCATGGTACCCAAGATGAAGACATGATGGAGGAAGAAGTTTCTAATTTGTGAATCTAATTAAAAGTCCATGAAGGTGGGTTTAAATACCTGATCTTTCTTACAGAGTCTGAGTCACAAGATTATCAGCTTTCTTAATGGAAAACGGGGTGAACATATTAGTACAGAGTTGAGCTAAAATAAAGCTTGTGTTGTACAAATTCAATACTGAAGTCTTGAAAATAGAAAAAAAGGGAAACTCTGAATCTCCCTGAATTATTTGTCATTAATAATCATTTCTCTCAGTTCTCTGTTGTTGAAGGTCTTGGGAAAGAAGCTGAATATCTACTCATCAGGATTTTATAGATGGAGTTAATGTTTTGGAGTTCAGTTGGACCAGATAACTTTTGTGGGTCTCTCCCAATGCTGTATGTAGTTCTGCAATTTCATAGTATTCTTTGTATACAAAGATTACTACTTTTTTACTCTCAGTAGGGTATATGCTTTGGATTACTTAACCTGGAGTCAGGGAGGCCTTTGTGTAGATTTGCACCTCTCAATCTATACCCTTGTCCCCTTCTGGATCACAGCGATATTGTGGCACACCCCATGGATGGTATTAAAATGCTGAAAGATAAAGCATTGGAATGGTGTGCTATGCTCTATGGGGTCATGGAAAGTTGGTTACAGCTGAACAGCTGAAGAACAGCAACCACAACAAATACACACTCTTCTACTGACCCCATTCTGGACTATTGCCAGCATTGCAGGGTAACCTGCTCTGCCTGAAATCTTGCGTAAAATATGATGATTTTTTTTCTTTTCCATGAATTGTAATAGTAAAAAGTCACTGCTCCTAATGCTGCAAAAGGCATCATTATGTTGTGGGAACAGTCAGGAATTTAGAGTCGGAAGATCTTGCTTCAAATTCTTAATTTTCAATTTACTACTTGTTTGGCTTTAGGGCAAGTCACGTTGTTTCTTGGTGCAGTTAGATGGCATCATGTTAGACTTGGAGACTGGAGTTCCTCATGTTGAATCTCTGGCCTCAGACACTTATGAGCTCTGTGACACTGGGCAAGTTACTTGATCTCTTTAAGCCTCAAGTTTTTCATCTATAAAATAAGGCTAACAATAACACCTGCTTCTCAGGGTTGTTGCCAGGATCATGTAAGACAACGGTAAAGTGCTTTGCAAAATTTAAAGATCTATATAAATGCTAGCTATCTTTATTTTTATTTTTGAACCTGGATTTCCTCATCTATATAATGAGAGGGCTGAACTATATTTTTAAAAATTTCCTTCAATTCTATATCATAAATATTAATAAGAAGATTAAATTAAGACGTGATGAAACTCTTGACTTAAATATCATTTCAATATTTTGCTATTGGTAGCTGTGGTGTTTTGTTTTTTATCTCTTATTTTTCACCTTCAGTAGAAAAATGCTAAAAAGATAGTTGTGAGAGTGTTTTTAAATGTATCTTTCCCAAAAGAACCAAAGTGATAATACTGACTTCCCTGGCTTCTTGTTAGTCCCAGCTAAAATCTCACTTTCTACAGGAAGCCTTCCCCAGCCCCTCTTAATTCCAGTGCCTTCCTTCTGTTAACTATTTCTTATTTGTCCTGTATATAGCTTGTTTTGTATTTATTTGTTTGTATTATGTTTCCCATTAGGTTGTAAGTTTCTTGAGGGCAGGGGCTGTCTTTTGCCTCCTTTTGTATCCCCAGTGTTTAGCACAGTGCCTGGCACATAGTTCGTGCTTAACAAATGTTTATTGATTGATTGAGTGGGGCTTTTTATTATTGTTTTTATTATTGTTCTTATAGGGCATAGTGGTACAGGGTTAAATTTTCTCATGCTTAGCAAAATGTAGAGAAAAAAAATTCCTTTCTTTTTTGAGATCAGCATGCATGTTTCTTCAGCAGATACATCCACAGCCCGCTAGTGGCGCATGCTCACTTCTATTTTGTTTGAAGTTTCATTCTCATTTGCACTTATATCAATGTTCTTGGTGTAACTCTAGTCACTTCGTAGTTGCCTTTTCCCAGTGACAGAAGAAAGTTATACTAAATAGTCAGATAGGATAAGATTTTCTTTTACCTGAGAGCAAGAGACTCGCAAATAAGATGCTCGCAAATAAGCCTGAAAGAGTGACTCTAAACAAAGATAAACAGAATTTGCTTGGGTTTTGTTTTTCTTTAGTCTCCAATGTAGAGAAATTACTAGCTTACATAGTTAATTTTAAATATTGAAAATCAGAGGAATAACTGTATGTTTCATGATTTAAAATATTCATTGTTGTTACCCAGTTCTCCATGTGTTTCATTCATTTTTTCATCAATGGATATTGTGCCATGCTTCCCATGGGAAAATTTGAGTTTGACATTAGTGATGTTTCATTAATGTGGCAGAAAAATATTAACAGCTTTTATGTCATTAATTATATGCACCTCCAACACTGAACTTTGGCCCTAAAGGTGTTGGAACACAAAATGTCTCAAGTTTTTCAATAGAAGCCTATAATGTGAATAGTTAGCAATTTTAGAGCTAGAGAATTCATAGATTTGTGGAGAGATTTTTTTTTATAATGGCTTTTGATAAGATAGCATTTTGCAGTTTTCAGAGAATTTTCACATATGTTATCTCATTTGGTCCTCACAACTTTGTGATTGCCTGCATTTCTAAATGGAGAAACTACAACTCAGAGAGGTTAGTATGATCCAGGGTCACAGATGGGATGAGATGGAGTTGGGGCTAGATCACACATTGTCTGACTTCCAGTCCAGTCCTTATTCTCCTATGATAAAATTCTTTTCTCTTTTAGAAGCGTTGTTCAGTTCATTTCTTACTTTGGCTATTTCTGTATATATATTGCAACAAAATATCATTCCTTTAAATCCCTTTTAAAATAGCAGTTTCTACAAGATTTCTTTCCAGATGGTGTATAATGCTAATGCCTTCCTTCTGTGATTGTCTCCAATTTATGTTGTATATTGCTTGTTTGTTCATAGTAGTTTGTGTGGTTTTTTCCTGCATCAGACTAGTAGTTTATTGAGAGTAGGGACTGGTTTATTTGTTTTTTTTTCCCCTTTCTTTGCTTCTATAGCACTTAGCGCAGTGCCTCCAAGACAGTAGGCATATAATAAATGCTTTTAGCTAAGTAAGATTGTAACAGAGAAACCATTCATTTGTGAATTTTCATTGAACAAATAACTCATTTTACAAAGACATTCCCCAGTAACCTGTGATGTGTTAAGACCTGCTGCTCTATACTTGTGATCTTAGTATGCAAGACATAACCAGCTCTGTTGCTCTCTGGGGCCCTGAATAGTTGTCATACCTATGCATCAGACCTCCTACACGAGATAGTTTGAGCATTATTGACAGTAACTACTGTAGCAAGAGAGAGGCAATATTCACCTTGAAGGTTATGAATGTAGGGTTGCTGTCACTGAAGTCATTCAGCAGCATAGTGATATCGTTAGAGCTACCTTGTAGTCGCTCCTCGTCCCTTCTGACCTGACTCCCACAAATAGTGATGCACCATTTGCTATCACCATACTTATGTTATGGCTCTGGGGTGGAAAAAGGAGGATGTTAAAAGCATAATTTCTTCCAGTCTATATTGGAAGACAATGTCCTCAGTGATCTTAAACCCATCCTGAACTGGTTCAGGCTGGGTGGGTTAGATGCACCCCAAATCTTATAACGAATGGCATGGTAATAAGATGTAATGAACTATTCCATGACATGAAACAATATACATACATGGATACCTATAATATGATCAGTTGTAGGATCTAATTTGTCCTCTCATTTTAGGACCTCTTGGCTTCACATGGATTAAACATTACTGCACTTATGATAAGGGAAGCAAAACATTCACAATGAGTATTTCAGAGATGAAGTCCAGTGGAAAAGTGGTGAGTAGAGGAAATCCTGCAACCCTGTTTTAAACTTTTATCAGTGTATATTTAGCTTTAACGAATATCTTTCTTTGATTATTTATTCTTAATAAACTTCAGACAATCTTTGTTTTCTCCAGTTTTACTGAAACATAAGCAAATAAAACAATCAGCATTTTATTTTGTGTCACAAAAAAGGGACCATGTAGTGTAGTAAATAATGGTCTGGCTTAGAAATCTGGAATCATGGTAGAGTGCTAAAGGAACTCTAAGGCCATCTAGTCAAACCTTTTAATTTATAATCAAAGAAATTGAGACCTAGGAGAATTAAGTGACTTTCCTGAAGGTCATACAAATAAGTGTCAGGGCAAGATTTGAACCCAGATCCTTTAACTACAAGCAAACCAGTCTTTAAAAGTTGTTTTGGGCCTTGAGTGGTTAAGAGGTTTGTCCATGATCATGCATCTTCTATGTTATTAGCAAGACTTGAACACAGGACTTTAAAGCAGTGTGGTATAAGGGAAAGAGCACTGACTCTGTAGTGAAAGGATATGGGTTCAAGTCTTGCCAGTGACATAGAAGTTGCATGGTCATAGAGAAATCTTTTAACCTCTCAGTGCCCAAGACAACCTTTAAAGATGGAACTGCTATTCTGTGGTAGCAGTAATGCACCATTCATCTTGGCAGTACACTGTACTGAAGAAATCAGAGATCTGTACCAAAAGTAAGTCACAAAATGTCCGTGAATGCTTAAGCTAAACTCAGTGATTGCCTATTAATGTGGAGTAGTGGAAAGAGTGTGGAATCTGAAGTAGGAGAAATTGAGGTCATATCCTTGGTCTGCCTTTTTATTAGTTTGTGCCTTTATTAGTTTGTACAATTCATTTACCTTCCATGGCCCTCAGTTTCTTCATCTGTAAAAGGAGGATGCTTGACCCAAATAACCTCTCTAGGATTCCTCTTAGCTCTGAGCTCATGAACTAAGATAGCACTTTAGGCTTTTCATAACTTCGAAGGAGGAAGGCATGTAATGACTTCATATCTACTATTACCTTTCTTGTAAAAATACATAAGGATGAATTAAAAAGCTTGTGAATTTAAACTTGTCAGAGTAATCATTAGATCTACATTTGCTCAAGTGGTGATGGGACAACTTAGCAGGAAAAGTGAATTGCAGAACCCATACTTCCATTACTCTGGGCATGTTTATAGGTGGTATAATTATTAGCATGTAGCTAATAAGTGTAGGAATTCTTTGTAATTCAAGATAATAAGTTTTGAAGTATTTGCTAATAATGAAGTTTATATTCAATATAAATATTTATGCATATTGACAATTTGTTTAATATAATTGGTTCCATTTCTTTAAACAAATAGACTGCCATGGATTCTCTTTGGTTAATAGTAGATTTTAGTGAATTAAACTAAAGGATATAAAAATGAAGAAGAAACCAACTGGGAGGGGAGGGCAATCTTTTATTTTTCTGAAAACAGGGGAGGGGCATTTATTCAACAGATTAAATTCCACCAGAGTGCTGTATAGATCAAGTTAAACAGCCAGTTTCTACCCTTGAGAGGTTTTCAATGGAGATCGAACAATAATGTTATGATACAAAGAACAGTGAACTATGCAGTCCTAAGTGTCATGCTGCTAGTCAAGAAATCTATTCTCTTTTTACTCAAGATTGTTCAAATAAACCAAGTATTATCTTGGCGTAAACTATTGCCACAAAAATTAACAGAAACCTTAATACATTACTAGTTGTTATAAGGCAGAATTTATTATATGTTTTGGCTTAGACTAACCAATTATAAATGAACAAAATTATCAGAAGGGTTTATTTGTCAGGTACTCTCATCTATATAGCAGTCACATGGCAGTGATCATTCAGTACACTAAGACTGCACCTGTAGAATACCATTAGAATTACAGTATTTAGCATTTCCATCTTTTGGGCAGTCCCAAAATTGATTTGTTGCCAAACTGTGGGACTGCTACAGGTTAAACATTTACTTTTTCTAATAATTGTACAGTTTGTTCAGTCATAGTATATTGAAAGGGCCTAAAGAATGCCATTATTATCAGGGAAATATTATTCTTTTACAAATTATATGCCTTATAACTAATTACTCTATGGGGACAATTTACTACTAATCTTCTTTTAAAAAAAAACAAACCAAGCACATAAGTAAAAGTGAATTAATAAAATATTAACTGTAATATATTTTAATCCGTTTTATTTATATAATCAGTAGTTTGATATTTTAAGTTATCTGGCTATTTAGTAAAAATGAAAGTTAGGGCAATCATTATGTGCATATATTCTGTGGCTTTCCAGATTCCATGGAAAAGTTGCAGAATAATCCATGTAACTTTAGATAAATACTTGTAAGATGTTTTCATTCCCATCTCCACTTCTTCACTAAAATATATGTTCCTCAAGGGCTTTTTATTTTGTTTTTGTATCCACATCTCTTAGAACAGGAAGAAGCACATGTTTGAATGTTTAATAAATGATTGTTGGATTAAGTTGCTTCATTGTTTTAATAACATGTGATTTTGTTGTTGTTAACAGAATGGTCTTGTCACTAGCTCACCAGAGATGTTTAAATTAAAATCTTGTATCCGAAGAAAGACAGATTCAATCGACAAACGGTTCTGCTTTGACATCGAAGTGGTTGAAAGGTTTGAACTTTTCTTTTTAGTTTATTTTATACTGAGAAATAAGAACGTGAACAATTTGAATGCTGTGATAACATATGTAGAGTGCTTTACAAACTTTAAAACACCATATAAATGTTCTCTATTATTATGATTGGTGGTGGTAGTAGTAGTAGTGCTATAGTAATATAGTAGTAAAACTCAAAAGCTATGTGAAAATAAAGCAATTCAGTGTCACAACATATATATTCACAAAACATTAACTTTCCAGAATAGAAACATAGTGACAATGTAAGTGGTTGTACTTTATAAAGAACATGCAATCCTCTAATGTTGAGAAGCTTAGACTGAGAAGCCTTCCATTACACAGTGCATCAAAGGATACATCATAACTCTTTACTTTTAAAATGTAGCCGTTACATTTTACTGAACTCCATGTGTTAACAAATTACTGAACTGGCACACTTGAAACACGATAGCCTAGAGTTATGAAACCAGTAACAAAAGTTGAAGTATGACTACTTCACTGGGTATTTTGGTGGTGCAATGTATAGAATGCTGGGCCTAGAGTTAGGAAAACCTGAGTTCAAATCTAGCTGCAGGCACATACTAGTTGTGTGACCCTGGGCAAGTCACTGGATCTCTTTGTTTCAGTTTCCTCAGCTGTATGATGGGGATAATAACATCACCTACCTCCCAGGGTTGTTGCAAGGATCAAACTAGATAGTATTTGTAAATCATTTAGCACAGTGCCTGGCACACAGTAGGCATTATATAAATGAGTATTCCTTTCCCTTCCCCTTTACTGGTGCAATATAAGAGGAAGTGTTGCATAGTGGGTAGAGAGCTGGTCTCAAAGTCAAGTCTTTCTACAACCATATACTGGCTATGTGACCTTGAGACTAGGGACCCAACCTCTGAATACCCTAGGAAATGAAAGTCTGTAAGTCGCATAAAGTTGCTGACCAGCAATGATAGAGGAATTTCCTCCACAGGGCTTATGTACACCAATGAAATCATAGGTCATAGCCAAAACAAAAACCAAACAAAAATCCCAGAGCTATTATATAGACTATGTTCACATGATACCAGAAATTCCTGCTTTGATCCACTTTTACAGATCGATGATTTCAAAGGTGTAGCTATTCCTTCCCCAGATATAGTTTGTTGTCCTTCCAAATTCTGTGCAATTCTTGTCCAGGTTTCCTCCTAAATGTCAGAAAATGCTGAGGAAAAGTGATTTTTTTTTCCACTTTACCACAGTCCATAGTTCAGACAACTTCTAGGGGTTGGGGTCACTGGAGGGAGCAGTGGTGTTTAAAGAAATATTGTGGTAGAGTCCTGGTGGGGTGGCAGTTGGTAGCATGAAAAACAGAAAACACAAAGCATAGTGATGTTTTTCAGTTGTTTCAGTCATGTCCAACTCTGTGACCTCATTTGGGTTTTTTTTTTTTTTGGCAAAGATACTAGAGTGGTTTGCCATTTCATTCTCCAGCTTATTTTACAGATGAGGAAACTGAGGCAAGCAGAGTTGAGTGATTTGCCCAGGGTCACACAGCTTGTAAGTGTCTGAACTGGGATTTCAATTCAGGCAGATGAGTTTTCCTGACTCCAGGCCTGGTGCTATCCACTGTGCCACCTAGCTGCCTCACCTATGTGTTTTTGATAAAGTGACCTTAAAAAAATCACTGAGTCTTCTTTCCAGTCTCTGGATTGTCATCTTCTGTGAGAGTTAACTATGTTAAGTTATTTAGGCTAGTATTCCATCCTCAATGGTCAGTCAGCTGAAACTAACAACAGCATTTGGAGTCTCCTACCCTTCAGTAAGAAGATGACATGCTGTAGTGGAAAGGGCTTTGGATATGAAGTTCAAAAACCTGAGATTGAATCTTAGCTTTCCTACAAACCTGTGTAAATTCATATAGTTCCCATAACGTTTCTGGACCTGTGTTTCCTTATCCCTGAGAAGAGGATGTTAGAATATGTACAATGTCACAAAAGTCTTTTGGGGCAGCCTGTATCCTCTCTAAATCCTATGAAGAAAAAGATATGTGTGATTTATATGGGTTAAAACCAACGTTTATTCTTTTTCCGATCTAGTCACCGAGTTATTGAGACCTTGTTCAGAATACTTTTGAATAAGACTGTCCTGTTTACCATTGTGAATATACTTCATTTATCTATTACCACTCATTTTGGAAGGAGAAAGGGAAAGAAGATAAATCTAGTTTTGAGAATATGAGATGTTTCCTGCAAGACCAAATTTATTTTCTTTCCCTTTCAACCTGATTCTCCTTCAAACCTTATACCATACCATTCACTCTTATCCATAAATTTAGGATTATCTCTTCCCTCTCCTGCCATCTTATTTTCAGTGGATTACCAGTACTTATCTGTTTTATCCCTGCAACATTACTCACATTTATTCCTTCCCTTTTACTTCTAACACCACCCTTCTGCTAGTACTCATTGCCATTTGTCTAGATTGTGGCATTAGCCCTCTTTGTGTGTCATCTTATTTTCTCTCTCTCTCCCCCCATATACCAGAATGATTTTTCTTATGTGTATGTGTTCATAGCATTCTTCTCTGAGATCTTCAGTAGCTTCCTTAATGCCTACTAAATAAAATTCAAACTCTTTTTTATCTAGCATTCAGAGCCCTCCAAATCTGGCACCTTTCCAACTTTATCTTATATTTTTCTTGCCTATAAATTCTCTGTTCCAGACAAACCAAACAACTCTCTGTTTTATTAATATTCACTATGTTTTCAAGTCTCTATGACTTCACTGAGTCTGGGCCCTCTGCCTGTAATGCCATTACTTTACTTTTTGACCTGTTGCATCATGTCCTTTATAGTTGAATTCAAATTCCACCTTTTTCAGGAAGCCTTCCCAGAAACCGCCATATACTAAGACCTCATGTTCATATTTTGCTTTGTGATGAGGGGTCAGGCACACAGTCCATGGGCCACATATGGCCATAACACTCCTTACAGCAGCCCAATCCAGATTAAAATGTAATTGGGAAATATTTCACAAAATAAATGAAAATATAATAAAACATAGATAATATGAATATGTAGTTTTCTAAAGTCACTATGTGGCCTACTGAAATCTTCATGTATGGTTTAGTGTCCCTGTTTCTCTTTGAGTTTGTCACCACTGCTGTAATGCAATTAACATTTTCTTTTGGTTATTTAGCCTTTTGTATTGGTGTTTAATCATTCTTCCCTTTTCCAGATTTTAAGTTCCCTGGATATTAGGACAGTCTTACCTAATCCCTTATATTTCCCAGTACCTCCATGGTGCTTGGTTCCCAGTGGAGGCTTAATATTTATTGTTTTTGGTCAGGATCTGTAATTTCAGTGGTGTAAGAGAATTAATTCTGAGAAACTGTTCTGTAGCTTGGACTCGTCAAAAGTTACCTGGGGCTCCTGAGAGGTTAAGTAAGCTGCCTAACATTGACTGGTTGACTTCCCAACTCTGTCAGGCTGGTTCTCCTTATTGTATTATATATTCCTTTTAAATTTGTTAAAAACTTTTTATGGGATGTAAAATGGATAATTTTGATTATATTATTTTTTAAAATTTCTTTTATCTTCAATTTATGGAATAAAATAAACATTTCCATAACACAGTATAATAAAAAAGATGATTACACATGAAACTGCCAATATGTACAATTTGCTATTCCTTTTAAATATATAATAAAGTTAACATATCATGTAATTTTTTTTTCTTCCCTTCCTCCACAACTTAGAGATGGTCGTTACTAGACACAAATAGGTGTGTGTTTATATATATATGTATGTATGTAAGTATGTATGTAAAATTATTCTATACATACTTCTGTTTATCAGTTCTTTATCTGGATGCAGATAACGAACTTCTTTCTTCATATGTCCTTTATTTTTAATTTGTGTACTTATAATAGTCAAAATGATTTAGTTGCTCAAAATTGTTCTTAAAACAATATTGCTGTTACTATATACAATGTTCTCTTGGTTCTGTTCACTTCACTCTTCATCATTTCGTGCAAGTCTTTCCATGCCTTTCTAAGATCTTTGAGCTTATCATTTCTTATGGCACAGTAGTATTCCATCATAACCATACACCACAACTTGTTAAACCATTCCCCAACTGATGGGGATCTCTGCAATTTCCAGTTCTTTGCCATCACAAAGAGAGCTTTGTAAACATCCCATTCACATTCAAAGTTATAATTACTATTTGTGAATTTCCCTCCATCCTATCTTTACTCACTGTTTTCCTTCTCAGCCTCTTTTTACCCTATCCCTGTTAACTGTATCTTCAATCCTTACCCTAAAAGTCCCTCCCCCATCCTGTCCTCCAGTTTTCTCACCTCTCTATATGTTCAAAGAGTTCTACACCTTTCCAAATATATTTATATGCTCGTAATGATAATATTCGTGACAAAAGGCTTCCTATGTCTTTTTTTTTAATGTGCTCAAGTTCATTTTAGGTAGCCTTTCAAATGCTCACTTCTTAAAAAAAATCTCCTCTTTTTGAGGGAGAGATGTAAACTTCTCATGGATTCATATTGGCCAAAGCTGCATTAAGGTTCAGAAAACATGACAGTTATTAATATTAAATATTGGAGTAACAATTGTTAGCCATAATTTTGAGAAAAGTCTGTTGACTGACCTAGTCATGCATTTGAGATTACTCCTTTTTATCTAACCATCTTTTTTAGCTGCATGGCAAAGTTGTTTTGTTCCCCCTTTTTCTTCTGCATTAGTGATTTTTATTCCAGAAATTTTAGATCGTGAAATCAGGTAAGACTATAGTTGGACTGACACACGTAATTTTGGAATTTCCATCTATAAGAGGCAGCCATTTTCTGGACAAAAAGAAATTTCCCTTCCTTAGGAAATTTGACTCAGCTCTCAGGAAAGCCAAAGTCCCTCTTTTTCAGTAATGTGAGTTTGTAATTTGCATCAAAAAGAGTCTAAAAGCTTTAAAGAATTGAATATCATAAAATGCAAATAGCTGATTTTTAATAAAATGCAACTTTTTTTTAAAATGCAGTAATCAGATATTTGAAATTTGCTTATGTTTAATGAGGAAGAAGTGGGATTTTTCATAGCTCAAGCTTTGCTGTACGGGACAGAATGTTAAAATGAAATTCATCATTTTTATAGCCATTTCTGAATAACTGGTCATCTTGCACTTTCTTAGAAAAAAAGAGATTATCTTTTCAATAGCATCTAGGCAATTAGATGATTCTCTTGTTGGAATGTGAATATTTAAGGGCTTTGTGAGGTGAGAAACTTACATATGACCATTGTTATCTCTGTTGTTATAGGGACAAATAGTGATTGTGTAAGAATTTTTAGCCTGCTTTAGGCAACAGCCAAGAGCACCAAGAATTAGGAAATCAGTGGTTATCCTTTTCTTCCTATATACTTTCTGGCAATGGGGAATTATAGTAATGGCACTAGGATGTTTATGAGAAGCAAGTACCTAAAAGTGGTCTCGTTCTTCATGCCAGTCTTTCATTTGAATGCTGTAGAAAATCTATAGCTCTAGTTATAGCTTTCATCAAGAAGCCTAGAAATAGTTTTGAGCTGAATTATTCCCCATTTAATTAGCCTTAGTTTCCTTTTGGTGAAGGTATTAGGAAATGTCTTCAGTTATATTAGCAAATAGCTAAATAGTACCTGGAGAAGTCTGGGTGTTTGAATAATGAAGGAAAGCATTTTTGAAAAAAGTTTTCTCCACAAAGGCAGAGAGTAATGAGAATAGTTCCAGAAGCCATACATTTAAAGTGTCAATAATTGGTAGCCACGCACCCCTCCTCTCACTCTTTTTCTCTCTGTGTATATATGTATTCCCTGTATGAAATAAATTATTTTCAAATCCATAATTTGACTCTTCTATTTCAGTGAAGATCTTTTCCTCACATGTAGGCTATATAGTGCAGAAATGTTGCATTTGTGATTCCCTGCTTGCTCCCTTCTGACACCTTTCCAGGGGTGAGCATCAGTAAAGTAAAACAAAGGGAACAAATGTCCCAAGACAATCTCCTGAGTAGATAATCAGTATGCTTACAGTATGAACTTTTTAAATTGAATTTATATTGTTGGCTATAGCCTAATACAGTCATCAGAGACCTCACTGTGCTACATTTTTAAAAGCCCTGTAGTGTATTAGACTAAGTCAGGAGACCCAGATTCTACTACTAGCACATCTACTCTTGAGGGTGACCTTCAACATTTCACTTCTCTACATCTCCATGACTTTGTTCTTGAGATTAAGGATAGGATTAAGTGAACTTCAGGGTCACTTCAGTTCTATGATTCTGTCACCATCAGAATCTTTTAGATTACAGAGTTGCTATGCTTATTTTTCAAGGCTCTTCAGCTTATTTTAGGACAAGGTCTGAAATGTATAGACAAAACACAGGTGAAATATAACTTTGTTTTCTTCCTCTTTTTCAAATGTGTATTTTCTTTTCCATTAACAAGCATTTATTATTTCTCTCTTCTATCTTCCCCCACAATTAAAAAAAAGAAAAAGAAAAGCCAGTCTTTGTTTTCTTTCAAGGAAATTAGAGACATGAAACATTTTTTGATAACTACTGAGCTAGTTCTTCCAGACAACATTCTGTCTTAAAATACTGAATGACTTGTTTTTAGTAATGGACAGATAGTCCTTAGAATACAGAGAATTTCTGTTCAGCTCAATTTCATAAGATTATAGATTTAGGGTAGGAAGGGACCTTAGAGTTTCTCCAATAAAAATCCTTGATTTTATAAATGAACAAGAGGTTCAAATGAGACTCAAAGAGGTTTACATGACTTGCCCATGTATGACCATACATATCATGTATGACCATACTAGCTATAGCTAATATATGGAGGAGTCTAGATTCAAACTGGTTTCTCCTACTGCAGTACACTGCACTGTTAATTCAAATACCCTAATAATTTCTGCATTGTTGCTTTTCACAGAAATAGCTAAGCAGGAGTGTTTTTTATTTACCTACCCGGGCATTTAAAAATGTTAAATCTATCAAACATAAATTTAAATGGAAAAATAAGCAAAGAAAATTCTTCTTTTAACAGACATGGAATCATTACATTGCAAGCTTTCTCAGAAGCAAATAGGAAACTGTGGCTTGAAGCAATGGATGGAAAGGAACCGGTAAGAGACTTTGCATTTTGTAATTTGTGCATTATAAGATTGAGTATCAATAAAATATTTTAAATATTCAATATATTTTCAAGTAGATTAAAACTATTAAAATAGAAAATCAAAACAGTAAAACAAACATTACAAACAAAGCAAATACTTTAATATTTTTCTGTTGTGTCTCAGAGGAACTTCTAATCTCTGACTGTCTTATAAAACCAGAATAGTAGCCTCAGTTTCCCAGGGATGGTCAGACATCATTTTAAATACATTTTTCCAAACTTGTCTTCTGGTTTCTGTTTTCATAGTGCCAGAGTAGTTGTTTAATTTAATAAAAAAGGAACATTCTCTTTGATATGATGACAAAGCGACTTGTATAAATAGACTTCATTTGTTTAGTGATTGTTTTGACGTTTGTGGAAAGCCTGTACTTAAATTTAGAATAAAAGCACCCGTGGGTAGCAAGAAGTGATGAGAAAGGAGTCTGTCAGGGTTATTCACTGGATACCCACTAGCAAGGTGTTCTGTAGTCAACAATCACTTATTAGGTGCCTGCTGTATGTCAGACACTGTGAGTGTTGGAAATCCAAAGAAAGGCAAGGATAGTTCCTGCCCCTAAGGAGCTCACAGTCTATTGGGGGGAGATAATATGCAAAGAATTATGTATAAATAAGATACACACTCACGTAACTATATATACACACACAGGATCAATAGGAGGTAGTTTCAGAGGGAAGGTACCAGCCTTAACTGAGGTCTAGGAAAAGTTTCTTGCAGAAGGTATGATTTTAATTGAGACTTGATGGAAGCCAGGGAAACCAGGAGATGGACATGAGGAGGGAAAGCATTGCAGTTGTCAGACACGGGGATAGATAGCCAGAGAAAATGCAGGGAGTCAGGAGATAGAGTGTTATGTTTGAGGAACAGCAAGGAGGCCAGTGTTGCTGGTTCACTGGTAGGGAGTAAGGTTAAAAAACGATGCAAAAGAAAAAATACACATTATTTTTGTATATGTTGAGCCTGTAACTCCTAAAGAGATGCTGAACAGAGGAATGGGGAGTGAGAAGGGACTCACCTTGTAGGATTCCTGAACTAGAAGGTGAGTTTTATACTAAGTGTTGGAGTTGAGGAGTGACAGAGACAGGTGAAGCCTAAGTAGGAAGACGTAGTATCCAATGGTTCAGAGAAGACTGGCACAGTGGTGTGATGAAAAAGGCTCTGACGTTTGAATCCTCTACCTGTGTGACCTTCTGCAAGGTAATTAACCTCGGAACCCCATTTTCCTAATCTCTTAAACAAGGGAGTTGGATTTGGTGACCTTGGAGGTCTTTGCTAGCTCTAGTACTAGTGTTCTGTGAACTTAGAATGACATTCTAGGTAGGAATGTAGAGACAATAGTTGTTGCATGACCATTAATGTAATGAAAAAGCACGGTGTGATATTGAATTGATGTCATACTTGTTAATCAACTGTACTTAATCTATTGGTTGATATTTTTAAAAAATCACTGATTTAAATACTTTGTTTTTCAGATTTATACTCTGCCTGCCATTATTAGCAAGAAGGAAGAAAGTAAGTCTTCTTAATAGCAGAATTTTCTGTTATGTATGTAAATTACAGCAAGCGATTTTAATCAGTGAAGTCTAGATGTTTGCCTCTGGGAAGCAGGGACAGTACACATATTTGGTATGCCATAGAAATGGTGGGCCGTATTTTGCATGAGATTTCCTCCAGCTGGAAATTCTGTGACTTAACTGGAATAACTGAGTCACACAACGTGTTTGGAAGCAATAGCAATTCATATTAAACTGGTAGAGGAAAATAAGAATAACTCCTGTGTTCAAGGTGGTAAGAGATTTAATTTGTGTGGTGTGGTACAAAAATCATCTTTTAATATTTTAATTTCATCATAATTTTGATTATACTAAAGGTTATTTGGCATAGAAAAGTCCTTTCAGTAACCCTAGCTATAAATCTTAGCAACATAATCCTTTTACCACTACACTTTCAAATGATGTTTCAGTAAGATCAAGGAAAGACAATTGGACCCTGGCAAGTAGCAGGGGTAAAGCAAACCTTTATAAACAAATGATTTTTAAAAATATATTTTTAATAAAAATAAGATATGCTGGATTTATAGCTGTCATATTTTTTTTATCCTGAGAACAGTCTGCTTCTAAATATGGTGATAGCTCACTTCTCTGAAGTCCTCCTCTCCCATCTGGAGCTTAGCTAGAAATCTGAAAGGCAGCAAAACAGGCCATTGAAATGTGAGGATGATGTCTGCTACTAACATCATGCATTCCTACTCCATGGGAGAAGCATGAAAGTTTTGTAAATGAGTTTATCAAGTTGTAGTGTAGTTTCTTTTCAGTGAAATCTTGTGTGATGTTCTAATAACTGGGAACATTTTATGGACCTTTTAGCGTATAGCATCAAATTAGGTTTATATAAATAGTAATGATGATGATTATTAATAGTTTACATTTATATAGTTTTACAGTTGCAGAACCATACAGTGTTTTACAAAGGCACATATGAAAACATCTTGGAATTTTTTTTAAGTAAGCCTGAACAGAAACTGAGATCTTGATAGCAATTTATTAAAGTAAAGAAAAGATATGATAAGGAATAACATGAGATGTGACTTTAAAGAGATGTTTTCCACTAGAGAAATAATGAAAAATCAGCCTTAATCCTCAATATATTGTGTTTCAGAGTATTTATGTCATAAGCGCAATTAATATGGTTAAATTGAGAGGATAAAATGTATAAATACCATCCTTACAATTACAATAACAAAGAAAAATTATGAAGCAGGATTCCGTTAAGAAATATGGTATGATGTTTTTCTAGTTCTTAGCTATCTATGTTTTCCAATGACACCAGAAAGGCAGAGGGACAAATATAAGCTCTTAATACTGTTAGGGTTGGGGTGTCAAGGTCAGGAGGTTAATTCATGGTAGATTGGAATTAACTGTATATTATACCAAGAGGAAGAAGTCTTAGGGACCTTTAGGAATGCATTAAGCTTTCAAAAATAATTTTTTAAAATTTTGTTTGAATTCAGTTCGATGCTTATTTATCACCTACTATAAGGACCCTTATGCATAAAAACATAGTGATTCTTTTTTTAGCAGCAAAGAATTGGAAACTAAGCGGGTTCCATCAGTTGGGATATGATTGACTAATAATAGTTAATAATAACTACCACTTATGTAGTGCTAACTATGCACCAAGCACTGTGCTATGTGCTTTACAATTATTATCTCATTTGATCTTCACAAGAACCCTGGGAGGTAGGTGCCATCATCATCCTCATTTTATAGATGAGGAAACTGAGGCAAACAGAAGTTGAGTCACTTGCCAGGGTCACACAGCTAATAAGTGTCTGAGGCTAGCTTTGAACTCAGATCTTCCTGACTCCAGGTCCAGCATTCTATCCCCTGTGCCACCTACTAGTACCTGAGCAAATTGTGCTACATGAATATAATGAGAAGATTTATATGAACTCATGCAGAGTATATATTCATATGTATTGAATAACACAATGTTATAAAGACAAGCAACTCTGAAAGATTTAAGATCTCTGATCGATGTGATGGTCAAGAATGAATATGGAAGACTGATGATGACCTAGGCTACCTGCTTCTTGACAGAGAAGTAATGGACTCAAGAGGCAGAATGAGACATACATTTTTGGACGTAGATAATATGGGAATTTGTTTTTCTTGTCTATGCCTATTTGTTACATGTTTATTTTGTGTTGTTTGTTTCTCTTACATTGGGAGATAGAATTTGAATAAAAAATAAAGCAAACATCTAATATGTCTAAGGTACTATGCTCGGTTGGCTTTGGAGCTACAGAGACAAAAAACAAGATGTTTCCTTCCCTCAGGGTGCTTATATTCTACTAGAGGAACAAAAAATTAAAATAGATAAATAGATGTTACAGGAAGCCTTCACCCCCAATGCTCAGCTCCATAGATATAAAGTATAAACAAAGTAATTGAAAGGGAAGAGAGGGAGAGACAGAGACAGACAGACAGACAGTTAAAATAATCGGTTCAGGGAGGGGAGGATTCAGGGAAGGTCTTGTGTACTCACCTAAGACATTTTCTGTGCCTTGAAGGAAAGCTAGGATTCTGTAATGCAGAAGTAAGGAGAGATTGCTTTGAACATTTGGGCTAGAAGAGATGGGAGGTGGAATGATATACAGAAGGAATAGTTGGCAGTCTAGTTTCATTAGAAGGGAGTGCATGATGGGGAGAAATATGAAATAAGACTGGAGGGGTAGGTGGGTGGGGATTAGATTGGGAAGTTCTTTAAATCTGAGCACATTTATATTTTGCCTTAGAAACAAGTGAAGGGACTTTGACATTTTTTTAGTGAAGGGCAGAGGTGACAAGGTCCACTTGATGTTTTCAGAATGTCATTTTGGCAGGTTTGTCGAAGATAGAATCAGAAAAAAGGAGAGACTGTAAACAAGGAGACCACCTGGACATTTGTTATATTAGCTCAGTTGTGAGGGCCAAAACCCAGGGTAGAGTATATTGAATGGAGAGAACAGGAAAGATGTCAGAAGTATTGGAATTGGAATAATTGGATCAGAATAATTTAGAAGACGTGACAGCTGATTGAATGTGGGCAAGTGCAGAGGGAAGGTTTAAGGAACACTCCAAGATTGCATGAATGGAAAGATAGTGATGCCCACAACAAGAACAAGGAAATTTCAAGGAAGAATGAAGTAGGGGGGAAATATAATGAGTTCTACATTGGACATTTGTTTGAGAACCCTTTAGGAAATCTAGACGTAATGGTGAAGTTCAAAAGAGACAGTAGGATTGGATATAAAGATTTGAAATCATTCTTAGAGGTGATGATTAAAGCCATGAGAGTGGAAAAGATCAGTAAGGGAGAGAATTTATAGAGAAGAGAACCTAAGTCAGAGGCTAGTTGGACCCTCAGATTTATTTTTAGTGTTATAAATTGTGGATTATTTGAGCAGGACTTTTTGACCTTAAATGATAAGTCAGTAATGAAATTGATGAATTGCAAAGACAAGTAAGCATTGTTTTGTTTCACCAAATTGAAGATGTACAGGAGGAACGAGGAAAGTATATGTCTCTCATCTAGAGATGCTCTGGATTTCTTAATTAATGGGAGGCTGAATGAACAAAGACATGCTTTGTCAGTTGTATGTAATTGTGAAGCAATTTTTAAGAAAAATTTTTCCTCCTTTAGAGCTCCACTAAATTTTAATAGCTTTTGTGCTGTTCATTTTCCTTTTTCACTTGTTTGTGCTTTTATTAAAAGGCCAATCCAAGCCTTGAGATTCTCAAAAGAAAGACAAGCAGAAAGAAAATGAGTTTTACTTTTCACTAATAGCTTTTTAAATTTTTTTTTGTCTCAGACTCCTCACAAAGTAGGGGACTATTGTAGTAACTACTTCTTCTGTGCATCACTCCTTTGTTCTTTCTCCTCCAATGATGAAGACAAAGGTCAACTAGGAGAGAGCGAATGGATTTTCAGGAACACAGAAACTAAACTATTCTGTCCTTCCATCCCCATTCTTAAGTGTCTAAATTGGGTAGGAGAAAGAGAGGAGAAAGGTCTAGTTGAAGTAGTACTTATCTAATTGTGGGAAGTGAGTGCAAATCCATTGTGGTAAAAAGAAGTATTTAGAGAGCCTCCTAAGGAAGCTGGCCTATAACCAGAAGAGGCCTGATGCCTATAACAAATTCTTACCTTCTTGGGGCCCTGGTGTGTCCATGAGGCACACCTAGATAAACAAAGAGCAAAAAAATTTTGTTCTTTCCCAAAATGATTGCTGACATAATAACCCTCTTTCAAAAAATACTTTTTCCCCCCTTTTCTGTTTATCTTAAATTTGTTTCAGTTAAATTCTTAGAGCCTTTAATATTGGCACAGTGAAGTTTGTAGACACAAGTCTTCTTTTCTCTTTCTCAAAATTTTTCCAACTTTCCTCTATATATGATTTTCCTCGACCTATTTCAGGACAAATCATCTTTGTTTTTGTCATGCAAAACATTCTGAGAGATTGGTTCTAAAGAAGGTTGATGTCCCTGGAAGGTGAAGTCCTGATTGCTTATATGTTGTATCCTGACTGTATTATCAATATGAACATCAGCAGAAACCACCAAAAGAACAAATAAAAGAAGAAGGAAGTGGAGTATAGGTCTTTATTAGGAGAACAGGGAAATGCAAGACAGCTAAAAATAAGGACTGCCTGTGGTGTTCCTTCCTGTCCTTGCTTTGTGAACCCAATAATATCACAGTAACTACATTAGAGTCAGACTCCATCTAACAAAGCAACAACCTCCTTGCTGTGGGTGTGCCACTGACTTCTTAATTGTGATCTTATCCTGCCCCTGGAAAGCATTGAATCTGAAGTTCCAGTTCTGCTACCTAATGTCTTCATGACCTTGGGCAAATCCCTTCCCCTTTCTAGGCTCCATTTTCCTCCTCTTTCAAATAAAGTAGATAGACTAGATAATCTCTAAGGTTTTTTTTTTAACTACCTTAAAAACCTATGAAATTTAAATGTATTT